TTGGCCTTTTACCTCATCACGTGATCAGCTGTATCTGTAGGACACAGCGATCACCAACAGAGCTGGGTGTGCACCGTGCCCTGGGGGCGTGCAAGGGGCACGTTCTGGGAGGATGTCCATGGACGCCTTCCCTGAACTGGACAACCGCGCTGTGGCCGTCTTTCGGCGATAGCGTGGTTGGGAAGCTGTTAAAGACTGAACATTATATTTTTTAGTTAGAATAACTATTGTTAAAAAATACATAATGTTATATTATATACACTCACCTGCCACTTTATTAGGTACACTTTGCTAGTACCAGGTTGGACCCCCTTTTGCCTTTAGAACTGCTTTCATTCTTCATGCCATATATTCAACAAGGTGTTGGAAAGATTTTGGTCCATGCTGGCATGCGTTACTGTTGCCTCTCTATCATCTCGAACCAGTATGCCCATTCTCCTCTGACCTCTGAAGCCAAAAAGACATTATAATCCACACGACTCCCGCTCACTGGATATTTTCTCTTTTTTGGACCATTCTCTGTAAACTTTTGAGATGGCTGTGTGTGAAAATCCCAGTAAATCAGCAGTTTTTTAAATACTCACACCAGCCCATCTGGCACCAACAACCATGCCACATTCAAAGTCACTTACATCCCCTTTCTATCCCATTCTGATGCTCGGTTTGAACGTCAGTAAGTCACCTTCACCACATCTAGATGCCTAAATGCATTGAGTTGCTTCCATGTAATTGGCTGATTAGCAATTTGTGTTACCAAGCAATTGAACAGGTGCACCTAATAAAGTGGCCGGTGAGTGTAATTGTGGAGAGGGAGCTGAAGCCAGGATCAAATAATTTGTTTTTTGTGGTGAAGGTCCACTTTAAAGATACCAGAGAAACCCTCTTATAGTTATCTGTAGAAAAGTGATCAATTTTGCTGTGTAGAGTGGCAAAGAACATTTGTAGATTGGTGTTTGTTTGCTTCATATTGTCTTAATCTGTGAAAGATCTAATCTGAGTGAGATGCTTTGCTCATTTTGGACAACAACTTCATGTTCCCTGGTACAGAAGACACATGTGTTCTCTTTGTACCTTGTACGACCCTCTTGTACACCCTTCAGGTACATGATTAAGGAAAATTTTGCCCTCTAATCTCTTTCTCACTATCTGAGCACCCAGTCAAGCCCATCTTTATGTGCAAGATGGGCAAGATAAATTCCTGAGGGTTGCCTTGCCATGTATACATGTTTCATGTATGCCTGTAATTAAATTTAGTGATTTACAGCAGACCTAAGGCCTATCTCCTAGCTTTGTGACCCCACATGACTCCAAATTGACCCCTTCCCCACCTTGTGTCATGCTCTTTGTGATTTAATACTTTTCCAAATTCAGTAGATCACTCATGTGTTTGTGCATGATACTCTTCCTTTTCACCTCTTCTTTGGTCTTCAATAATACAGAGAGCAGGGCTAATGTGATGATGACAGCACCACTTTATGCACTGATACATATACTGTGAATGGGGGCACTGTGGTGATGGTCCGCATCAGGGATGGGGCCCTGATGCAATGCGAGACAGTGCATAAACCTATTAGAATCCAACACACATCTTAACATATGGTATATATGTGATAAAATGCATTGCATTAAAGTGATTATAAATCTAAAAATAAATAAATAACAAACATATTGTACTTACTTACTCTGTGCGGTGGAATTGCACTATGCGGCCCCACACCTCCTCTTCTCTGGTTCCCCTGCGGCACTCCTGGCTCCCCCTCCCTGGCGAGTGCCCCCATAGGAAGCCTTGTGACTGACTTTGATTGACAGTAGTGGAAGACCATGGTAAAAGGTAAGGTAAAAAATAGTTATATTTCTAACCACTTTAAGGCAGCCTATTCATTTTGAATAGGCTACCATCACAATGTAGCATACCTTTTAATGGGACTGGACATTTTTTTTAACTACTTCCCATCCACAGGACGTCCTTGGATGGGAAGGGTGATATCTTTGTCATTGCTGCAGCTGATAACATTTTTTATAGTCGACAACCCTGTACAAAGTAAAAGTAACCCAAGTGGCTAAAGACCCATTGAATTACTTTTACAGGCAGTGGAAGGGGGTCCCCCCTTCCCGTCACTGCCTTTACTGGGCTCTCCCGTGTGATCGGGGAGCCTGGTAAGGGTGTGACCGGTGGTATACAACTCTGGGCACAGTGAGAGGAATGGATATCGTGTGTGTTGTCAAAAACCAGACGTGACAAGGATTTAATCACTTCCAGTTTCGGTCTTCTGTTTTACCAGCCATTACCAGCTTGGGAAAGTTTTGTTATGTTGTGGTGCCTAGGCGCATTGTGCTAACATTAAGGCTAGTTTCACACTGATCTGTAGCAAGAACATGGCAAAAATGCACATGCATATGGTCCATTTTTTTTATAGGACATGTGACTCAAACCCCCCCTCAAAAAAAAACACAACGCAAGTGCGTTTTTATGCAATTTTGCTGCGTTTTCTATTCATTTCAATGTGGAGATGCGTTTTTGGTGCGGTTTTCCAAACCTGTACCAAAAATGCAGCAACCAGGATTTAAAAAAAAAATGCAGCAGACCCGCAACGGAGTGACGCGTTCCATAGGATTACATGGTTACAAATTTTTCTTCATCTTTTTTTAATGCAAAAGCATAAGAAAAATGGATCAGAGTGAAAGCAGCCTTAGGTCTCATGCACACTGCAGCTGTCAAACAACTGTTTCACAGACATATGAGTTTTTTTCCTGCTCCTAAATGCCCCTCTATGTGACCATACACACAAAACTGCATTCAGGAGAGGAGCTTCTTGGAAGAAAAAACCATCTGACATGTTGGCGTTTAGCACTTATGAGCATTTTTGAATTGCATGCATGAAGCCTTCTAATTAATGTAGTCACGTATCCTGTGCATTGTCATGTTTTATCACAGCACAAGGTCAAACGCACATTTTATCTCCCAATATCGCAACACACAGATCTGAGTGGGGCTGTCATTTGTAACAAAAGATTGTCAAACTGATATAGTTTAAGAAGTTCAAATGAACTGGAACAAAAGGAATTTTACCAAATTTAGAAGTCTATAGGCAAAAGAAAAAAATGCTGGAAATATCATGAAAAGGTGGTTGCAAGGCAAACAGGTTCAGTATGTATCAGAGTTATGGAGTTATCTTCACAATTTTGAACAGCCAGAGTTTATATGGGGCATCCATGTAAGCCTGACTGACAAAATGTAATAGGCACCCAATGACAAGTTGCTGCAGTTAGATCTCACTTTTTTTGGCATGGGCACCTTGGGTTGTTGAGCTGTGCAGTAGAAAGAAAAGGCTCATAAATTATTATCATATCCACATTTTAGGCCGGCCATACATGGCTCGAAATTCGACCGATTTTTCGTCCGAAAATCGGACCTAAGAATAATTAAACGATTTTCGCTCTGTTAGTGGGTCTGATTTTCGTGGTTCCTCCCCTTCCTCCCCTGATTGGGCATGTTAGAAAATTCGTGGAAAACGACCAAATTTTGACTCAATGAAGGTCAAATCGTACCATTGTTTTTCCAAAAAGAATATGAGCATGAGCCGTGACCTGGAAGGAACAGAAGTTTCGCCTGTTATATGGGGTGAACTTTATGACTTGGTCAGCCGATTTTTCGAAATCATTGATGGCATCATCGGGTTACCGAGCAAATGACGTTTTTGATTTTTTGACGAAAAATAATTTGGAATTCGAACCATGTATGGCCTGCATTACTGCTGCACCAGACTGGCAGGTGTCATGTAAACGAATGAAGTATACAAAGAATAGGGAAGAAAAGGATAATGAGGGAAGACATTTCATGTATATTTTTCTCTCTATAGCCATAACTCAACACACTGCTTTAGTTGTATATTACTCAGTATACAATCTTAAAAAGAATGGAGTGTCAGGGCTCCGGGAATGACCAGAGGTGTGTGGACTGACACAGGGAAACACAGACTTCAGGTATAGCGTGTAAACAAGATAATGTATTAAGGACAACACAAACATAAAGCAGTGCAACAAAACAAACCCAAAGCTAACACAAATACATACAACAAGGTGAAACAAACCCAAACCTAAACTGATATATATATATAAATATATGTATATATATATGGAGCACAACGTAGTCAGGCGGGCCGGGTCGGTAGCTAACGGGCAGACAAGGTACAAGGAGTAGGCAGAAGATTGGTCAGGAGTAGCTGAGGTCAGTGCAGGCAGAGTTCAAGCAGAGTCAGGATCAAGCAGAGTCAGGATAAGGCAGGAAGCAGACAGGATGCAGGTACAGGGGCTCATGGGAACAATACACCAAGGTACTGACTGTAGGCTTGGCCATTCCTTAAATACACCTTCTGCAATCAGCCTCAGGTGATGGCTTGATTGCAGGAATGAGCTTCTGGCTGCTGAGAGCACCCGCTGGCCAGCCCTGGTACTGCAGCCCACACAGCAGGTGAGTCCCACCACAAGTGGTGAATCCATTCCTGACATGGAGTGACTAACTATAAGTGAGGTGTGATTGTCCTTTAATAACAACTTTTTTTAAAAGCTGTAATTTAAGTAATGTTATTTGAATTTTGTCATTGTGACTTTAAATTATGAATTGACATAGAGACATGGCCCTGATTTGGCTTTAAATGTGTTCTAAAGATTTATGCATTTAAAAATTTTGTAAAATATGTATTTTACAAAATATATATATATTTCTATCATATAAATCTGTCATGGGGTATATTTCTGGATAAGATTGATATTATCACGTAGGTACAATACCCATCCCTCGAATTAGCTGCAAGGACCCATATAACATGTGTTTCCTTTTTATTTCAGTTATATTTATATTTTTTTGTTATTTGGCTAATAGAAAATTTTAAAATTAACTACTATTAATTAACTATTAACTATTTACGCCACAATTATTACCTTTTATACCACTAGCCTCTCCTTCTTAGATTAAGCTCCAAGGAGCAGGGCCCTCCTAACCAGAGGCGGACTGACCATTTTGGAAACTTGGGCACTGCCCGAGGACCCGGAGTCAGTAGGGGCCCCATGAGATGCCCCTGGTACCTTTTTCATAGGCTTTTTGAGTTTGGGCAAGGACACAGGGGCCCCCATGATCCCCTGTTGCCCGGGGGCCTCATGAGTTGTCAGTCCGCCCCTGCTCCTAACCCTCTTGTATTGAACTGTATTGTTGCTATAATTAGAATGTAAAGTTGATGCAGCGCTAAAAGACTAAAGCCTAAATACAGTATATAACCAGATAGTAAATATGAGTAATAACATGACCCAAAACCACCTAGGGATAAACAAAAAAACAATGGCCCTAAATAGACTAGTAACAGTGGTTAAGTGCAGGATAAGGTGTCCATAGTTCATACAGGAGTGTAAGTGAATCACAGCACACTTCAAAGAACGTGACCCCGGGCAGTCTTGCTGCAATGGCCTCTCACCTCCACTCTACGACCCTACAGGGCCATAAAGCGTAATGTAGATCACCACGGAATCCTCCAATTCAGGGGCTCTTTAGATAGATTGGCATCACATAAACAGGGACCGAATTCCTCCAGGCCAGTAGGTGAATAAAATAGACTCTCCTCCTCCGATGTCACAACCGCTCATATGCTCATAAATGAGGAGATAAACACAATCCTCATAGTGTATTACCGCTTTATTTGAGTATAGACAGCAAACAAAGAAAGAAGGTAATACACTTACATAACAAACGGCTTGTATGGAGATGCAATGCTGGGTGTACAGCAGGATCAAAAAGGTGCACCAAGATGGCGTCACGCCGGAAGTGCGTCACCACGCTATTGCCGTCGACGCGTTGCGTCACGTACCTCGTGACTTCATCAGGACAGCGTGATTGGCCGGCGGCACTTCCTTATAAAGGCCAGGAACCGCACCCTTCAAGACCACAATGGGCGGTGCGATCGCGGCCATATTTTAATAGTCCAGCATGCCAAAAAAGACCCAGGCAGCCATATACATGTAGTCTAATAAGGACAGACCTTCTCCCATTAGGTCTAGCAATCCTAGTGAAGTAATACACTATAAGAAAACAACACACATCCATGTCTCTCCATAATCAACACATAGAGAGACTAATATATAAAAAAAAATATATAAAAAATGTATATAAATGTAGAAAAAACACATAATTTAATGAAAATCAGAAAAAAATATAAAAACGAGCATAACCATATAATGCCCTATACAAAATACACTAAAAAAATATACGAATAAAAAATATATATATATAAAAAAATATATATATATATTAAATAAAAAAATGATGAAAAAATGCTCCTTTGTAATCCTGCATGAACTCTTTACATCAAGTACTAAAACACACATTATATCTACATAGAAGAGGTTATCGATCACTGATAAAACAGTTCAAGTCGAACTCAATATTGAGTCCCCGTCGGGGCAAATGTATCCATGAGAAAATATATATTTTGATTCTATCTGACTTAAAGATCTCACTTTGTGGGACCCTCTCCAATGTTTCTTGTATTTCTCGACTCCCCAAAATTTAAGACCAGAAGGGTCTTGATTATGGTATAGCCGGAAAATGATTGGATAGACAGTGTTTCGGGAAGCCCTTTTTTATCTTCTGAACATGTTCTCTCAACCGGACCCATAAAGGTCTTTTTGTCCTTCCCACATATTGCAAGCCACATCCGCATTGGAGAACATACACGACCCCCTCCGTTCTACACGATATAAAGTCCTTAACTTGAAAAGACCTACCATTACTAGTAGCTGAAAAGGAAAACTCAATCTAGTGTTCGAACCCCTGGTGGCTCTACAGGCATAACAGGTCTTACACGGGGAAAAAAACCCTTTAAGATCAAGAAACGTAGCCATAGGACTTTTAATAGGGGGGTTCAATACACTACGAACCAATTTGGACCTAAGGGAAGGAGCCTTCCTGTATATGAATTTTAGGTGTAGCCGGTAACAATTTTGAAAAAATGGGGTCGGTTATTAGAATGGGCCAATAACGTCTGAATACACTTTCTATCTGTTTATAATTACTGGTAAAATCCAGAATAATCGCCGTGTGGTCCCTCAAATCTTCTGTCTTGGGTTTATCAACAAGAAAATTACTCCTCATCGTTGTTCCCACTTCTACGATCTTATTTTTGATCATTTCTCTAGAATAACCTTTGCTACAGAATCTCTCTTCCATAATGTTAGCCTGCTCATAATATTCCTTGATATCCGTGCAGTTCCTTCTAAGTCTGACCAGCTGTCCTTTTGGGATATTCATCAGCCAAGGAGGGAAATGGCAACTATCTAATGGAATGTATCCATTCCGATCTACTTTTTTGAAAAAAAGTTTTAGTATGAAGATTATTATCCCTCACCGAAATGCACAAATCCAAATAATTAATGGAAGTGCCACTTATTTCCCACGAGAGCTTGATGCATTTATCATTACTATTTAACTGATTTAGGAAGGACAATAAATCAGATTCCAATCCATCCCAGATAATAATAACATCGTCAATAAACCTTTTATAAAGGAGTAGTTGTTTAGGGGGATTCTGATACACTGCCTCTTCCTCCCAGTGGGCCATGAAAAGGTTGGCCACACTGGGAGCAAACCTGGCTCCCATAGCTACTCCCTTCATTTGGTTATAAAACTGTTTGTTGTACCAGAAGTAGTTATGGGAGAGACAATAATCCAAACTTTCCAGAATAAATTTCCTCTGTGGCCATAGAAGGTCACTAAATAATCTAATACCCCAGCCCACCGAGTCCATAGCATCCTTATGATCAATGATGGTATATAAAGCAGACACATCTGCACTCGCAAGCAAGGTACCATCCTTGATATGGATACCATCTAACAATTGTATAAGGTGTTTAGTGTCTCTCAGGTAAGCCTTAGTTTTTTAATAACCAGGGGTTGGAGGAAAGTATCAATATATTGACCCATCCTAGACATTACTGATTGTATCCCATTGACGATGGGGTCGCCCTGGTGGATTCAAGGGATCTTTATGCATCTTCGGTAGGGTATAGATAACCGGTAATCTACATACATCTGGGAACCAGATATAACGCTTCTTTTTTATTAAGTACCTTAGTGTCCTTTCCCTTCTTGACTAATGCAACAAGATCCTTTTTAAATTGACTGGTCGGATCTTTTGATAAGGGGAGATATGTATTGGTGTCACCTAATTGTGACTCCAATTCTTTTTCGTAATACTCCTTTGAAAGTATCACTATACTCCCCCCTTTATCAGCAGGTCTGATAACTATATTGTCCCTTTTGGACAGTCGCTTCTGTCCAATGTACAATGCTTTATTTTGCCTCATTTTACCAAGATCAAGTTTTTTCATGTCATTAATGACCATTTTCTTAAAAACCTCTAGCTGATTGTTGTTAGTTACTTGAGGATTAAATAAAGATTTATTCCTTAATCCCGTATGGGCAAAAACATCACTACTTGCATTAGATATCACATTCTTAGCTCCTGGCAGGCTATGGAAGTATTTTCTTAATGTTAAGTTTTCTCACATATTTGAGGGTATCTATATATACATATTAAATCCATTTGCAGTTACGGGGGGGGTATATTTAAGGCCTTTGTCTAACACCAAAAGTTCTTCAGTAGTAAGTGTGACTGGGCTGAGATTGAACACTCCTTCCCCTACAACTCTCTTTTTCTTTTTGGCCTTCCAACCCCCTCTGCATCCCCTCCTCTGTCGAAACTTCTCCGGACTGGGCTGAGAATGGTTCTGCCCCTCTCTAAAAAACCTTCATTCTGTTGAAACTCAGTATGTTGTGTTCTCAAGGGTTCATATCTATTGTGAGTGGATACAGGGCTGCTGGTGTAAGGATGGTGATAATCCCTATGGCCATAGTGTGGAACAGGGCTTCTGCCATGTGAAGGCCCAGGGCTTCTGCCTTGTGAAGGACCATAGTATGGTCGTGATGGAACTTCATATGGATATTGATTGTATCTCTGGGATATATTATCACGTCTAGCATAATTCTGGTAGGGTTGTTGATAATTATTTCCCTGTGTGTGGTTAGTATTTTTCCATTGTTTCCCCCTTTTAAAAGGCTTTTTCTTAGGCTGTCCCCCACTACGTGGTTGCCAGCCTTTTTTGGGGGAATGGTTCATAGGGTGAAAATTATAAGGAGATTTTGGGACCATTATCTGAAGGTTTAAACGGTCCAGGATTAGTTGAAAATCTAATTTCCTTCACTGGTGTAGTCCTAATAGATGCTGCTTCAGTCTCAGCTATAGTACTTTGCCACTTAAAGACCTGATCTATATGGAAGTCATTAAGATCCCTATGATACTTCTTGATTTTCCTACATTTCACCTCCTGATCCACTTTTTCCAAGTCTTTATATAATCTATTAGTGAGATTGATAACTTCTGGGTTATCCTTGAGGGGATCTAGTTTACACTTAATATCAGAGATCAAGGTTTCTAGATGTTTCATTTTCTTTTGTTTCCTCTTAAGGAGGAATTTAACCAGTTCCAACCCTCTTTCTTGGAAAAAATTAAACCACTCATCTTTGTCCTCCGTATCTAGTAACCCATCACTAATGGGGACATCCCATCTGAGACGTCTCGGGACTAATTTGTCCTTGAGATACCTCTCATGCGTAATCATGTCCCACCAAGTGGTAACTTTTTTCTCCATGAGGTGACCCAGTCTCCTAAACTGAGTATCTAAGTCACTATTAGGATCAAACGGAGGTTTGGAAAAAACCTCATCAATATTAATGGGTCTACTATCAATGAAACCAAATACATCCATAATCTGCAGCAGAAAGTGAACTGGTAAGAATAATAAACTAAATAACATAAAAAATCCTCCTGCGCTCTTATGGTAAGTGGTGAATAAAAAACTAACTAAAAAGCAGCCAGCATCTGTCCCCATACCAAACAAGGGCAATATGAATAGAATGTAAAGTTGATGCAGCGCTAAAAGACTAAAGCTCAAATACAGTATATAACCAGATAGTAAATATGAGTAATAACATGACCCAAAACCACCTAGGGATAAACAAAAAAACAATGGCCTAAATAGACTAGTAACAGTGGTTAAGTGCAGGATAAGGTGTCCATAGTTCATACAGGAGTGTAAGTGAATCACAGCACACTTCAAAGAACGTGACCCCGGGCAGTCTTGCTGCAATGGCCTCTCACCTCCACTCTACGACCCTACA